TGCTAAAACACCTTAGAAGCAAGCAATGGCTCACACCCTCTACGAACAAATCTGTCCTCTGCTAAGCTCGCTACACAAGACACAATTATAAGTAATATAATTAATACTCTTAATAAGAGTATTAATGCTCATAATACAGCATTTGCATGTAATTCACTGAATCCCATTATTGAAGCTTTTCTCCTTCATTTCTTTTAAAATTACTTTTACCTATCACTGCTTTTCATAACAACAGCAATCCTCAGTGAAGAAAATCAGTATTTTAAATTTAAAATTACTTAAAGCAACAGAGCCAGGGAGAGCGCTACAGTGACATTCCAGGATTCTGTGCAGTGCACCTAAGTCCTTCCAAATCCCTTCACTCCGCCCGCGCAGTGAGTGTGCACGCTAGTGAGCAAGCGACGGAAGCAGCCACTTACCAGGTGAGTCACATACCAACCACTTGCGGCAGTGAGCGCCAGACTTAAAGAAAAGTCAACTAAGAAAGAGGAAAGCTGGACAATCACCGAATATGGACACGTATCAGTATAAAAAGTTAAAGCAGAATTATAATTTGAGACAATGGACAGGATAAGAAAAATTTATGAAGTACTGTAACATACTTTTTAAACATTCTTCATTTATTTTTTTTAACCAAAACAGGTGCTATTTTATTTTAGGTTAAAGAAGCCACATTCGCTCACGTCTGCACTCACCAACTGCGGTAAGCATTAAGGAAACACATATTTATTCACACACACACGCACATATGCACAGAGCCACAAATGCCAATTCCAAATAAAACACGAGAGGGCATAAACTCAAAAGATAGACAACTGAGACTCACTCCTTGGATAGAACAGTCAGCAAGGCCAGACAAGGCACCACAGGACCAGGCTGGATGACCACAAGGTGGGCAACGTGAGATGCAAAGCCACAGACATGAGCAAGTGTCAGGCGTTCCACATAACAAGCCCTTCTCACAGCTTAGAAAATGAGTATTTTTAAAGGATTCTGTGAAATCAAAGGTCTCTTCACTACTTACCGGTGACATGTTGGTACCGAGTTCGTCCCAGCATCGAGTGCATGGCATGGCCCATTTCATGGAACAGATTTTCCATCATCCCAGGAGTTAATAAAGTGGGCGAATTCCTTGAGGAATGGGGAATATTCAGCATAAGAACTACAACTGGGAGTTGATATTCTCCATCTGCCTTTAATCGGCCTCCTCGAATTGTAAAATGGCAGTCCTTCAGGAATCAGAAATACACAAGGAGAAGAAAGTATTATGGAATCTAGAGTAAGAAACTCTTAAGACAAAAAGATTTTGAAATGAGTAAGTTCAAACTATTATTGTTCTACATATTTCAATATATTTTTATTCTATAAAAGTTTTAATTTTTTAAATTAATGCATAGAGCCTGTATGCCTTCATCTGTCCCAACAATAAGCACTGCACCTGATGCTGAACCCGATGCTAGCACAAAGCAATCCCTGCGCTTCGATCCTCACCCTCAAGGTGCTCCCAGGTAAGTGGGAAGGATGACAGCAGTTCTGGGAGCAGGGGCGCCCATGCTTACGCTGCGCCCTCACCACACGTCAGACAATGAGCAGGAGATGTGGTCTATGTCTGCTGTCTTCACCAGCTGGACACAACGGCCCTGACCAAGCCTAAAGCGGGAGTCTGGAGCACCCTGCTCTGGAACAGGAGCCACGCTGAAACGCACACTTACTCCTTCATCACTTGGTCCCCACAACAACCCCATGAAGCGGTATCTTCCTCTCCAGATGAGAAACACTGATACCAAATTTTAGAAATGTCAAGTGCCGCGTCCCAAGATGCTCAACCAGAACCACTGCATCTAGAATCCAAACCTGGACACCCGCTCTAAGCTGGGGCTGCTGATCACTAAGCTGAAGCCTGTCACCATTCAGGCAAAGAGAAAGAGCATGGGACTCGGAGCCCTGCTCACATGCACACTGCCCCTGCCCTCTGACACCTGCTACCATGTCATCTGGAAAGCACTGCCTCTCACCTCCTTTCTAGACTACAGAGTACTATCTTGCCACACTGCTGATGGCTGACACAGTTCCTAAACTATTGCCTGTTAAAATCTGTGGAAACTGCGATTTATATTCAAATATAAGGTACATTTGTGTTATAACTGATCACCCAAACCCCAGACATTGCCCATCCAGTTGCATGAAACTGCTGAAGCTGATCAACAAAGCTGGAGTACTGCTAAAGGAATGGACATCAACCCTTGTCTTCACCTAAGGAGTTACAGTTTCCTAAGGCTTGGTAGTTTCCATATGGACATATCTTGTGCCAACATTAACCTAGATTTGCTGCCAAGAGCAGAAAGGTATTAAGAGCCTGGATTCTAGCCAGAACGCCTGGGTTTCAATCCCAATGCTTCTGCCTGTATGTTTCTGGGCAAGTACATAAACTATCTGGTTGTAGTTCCTTTACTTCATTTTTGAGAGCCTGGTTTAGAATTTATGTCACTTCTGTTTACTATTTTTAAATTTTATCCTATTTTTGAGCTTACAGATTAAAAAACTATTATTAGTGCCTTTTAACTACTATGGAACTGTAAAAATTATACATAAAGTTCACATTAGTACAAATAAACTGATGACTTCTGGATAGACTACTTTACAAAGAAAAGTTTACCTGATGTGGTTTTTCTGCTCGCTGGAAAAAATCACAGTAAATGTGCCCCAACAATCCTTCAGTCTCATGAACAACAGCCTAGAAAACACGTTGAAATTTAGTGGTGAATGAGCCTATCAGAAACTCTAAATCTGAGCAAACATCCCTCACGCAAGAACAGTCCACACGCATAACCACAATATAGACACTTGATTTCTTTTCTATTTCCAACACTGTCTGAGGACAGACTCTCTCCACTTTCCCCTTGCCCCACCTCTCCAGTAGTTTGGGTTTGGGATTTCCATGTCTAGGAGAGAAGATCCTCTTCATGGCCCTGCCTGATCCCCTCTTCCTAGACCAAAGCTCTGCACAGGGGAATGCTCACAAGCCTGCCACAGCTGAGAGACACGCTCGTGAGACAGCATCAGAGGCAAGGCTACTTGCTTCATACCATGCGCACAGTAAATCTTAAACTCAAACAATCGAATGCAGCTCTTAGTGTTAGCTGGAAACCAATTACACATACTCACTTCCACAAATTATAAAAGAGCCACAGTTTCAAGGAGATTGTACATCCACTGGTCTCCATCTAGCTTTGCACTTTAAAGTTTTCCCTAAGTATATATTCATACAAAAACCATCTACACATTGTCTGCTAGGTGCCAGGACTCACTCCCAGCTCCTGGGAAACAGCAGTGAGCTCCCGGGGGAAGCCCACTTCCTATAGGAGTGAGAGCTCGCCCTCACTGGCACTCTGCCCTTTCAACTTGCTGCTACTAGATTTGCTTTTCATTGCAGCTCCGCACTGTCTCGGTGGCCCTCATTTTGGGAAGTTGGTGATCCACAAGAAACTTAAGAGGTGACCATGGTGAAGAAACTGCTCCACCCTGACTCTTCAGCCCTCCCTGTACTCATTTCTCGCTCGCACAGGTTGCCCGAGGACAGTGAGAGGACAGCGACAGCTTCCAGCTCTTCAGAGTAAAGTGCAACGAGCCCAGCAAAGGTGGACGATGCAACAGCACAAAGCCTCAGGGCAACTGTGTGGGTCACGAGAGCCCCAGAATCTTCTGCAGAGAAATGATATTTGCACTGAAATAAAAAGGTGCCTTAGAGACTTGGGCAGACTGTGTCCCAAAATTTTAAAAAATAAATGCAAAATTTAAAGGAAAAAAAAAAAAAGATAGCAACAGAGTTTGGAAGCAAGCCCAAAGAAACACTTGGTACTACAGGCTTATAAGAAGTAATGCCAAATTTTCCTATAACCAGAATTCAAGAACACAGAAGGGTGCACATACGAACACGCAGCCTAACTCATCCCTGAAAACCATCTTGGACAGCTATCTCACAGGTTACTGTACGCTCAGATCCTTTTTACACGTGTCCTAACTCAGAAGTGGCCCTCGTGATTGTTTTTACAAGAGAGAAACACGGTGGGTACTCTCCATCAGGGCGACGCTAACACAGAGATGGAACTGCACTGACTCAGTTGCTGAGCCGGCCAGGCGGAGGGGGAAGCCTACCAGCTTTCGGACGTCTTCGCACCACACCTCGCCTTTAGCAGGCTGCTCCGCATACAGGGAAACACCAAGCAGCTTATTAAACAGGATGTTCAGGCCTTCCATGCACGCTCCGAGGGAGAAAAACGGGCAGTATAAGCTGGGCTCAATGTTATACCTGCGAGAAGAAGGAAGAGTTCAACAGCACTGTTATTCACTGTCTGAATGCATATGTAGGTAACCCTTTATTTTATATTCATGGTCACATGAGCTAAAAAAAGATCCAAAACATACAGACATACAATTGGTCCTCCATATTCTCAGGTTTCACATTCAAGATTTGAAACCACTTCAAGAGCAATATTTAGGAAAACAAACTATAGCTACACTGAACACATACACACTTTTATTCTTGATATCACTCCCTGAACAGTTCAGGATAACAACTATTTGCATAGCATGCTCACTGTATTCATGTTACAAGGAGTAGCCAAATACTAGCCCATTTCATAGGGCCCAAGTATCTTGAATTCTGGTATTTATAAGGGATCCTGGAACCCATCCCTGGCAGAGAGGAAGACGCCATCATGCTTCTATCATTTGAGGGTGTGGAGACACAGGTTTCTTAAGAATAATCCTCTGTAACTAATACTACTAGGAATGCAGTGACTGAGGTAGGTACCTTAGTCCCAGGTCTCGATCTTTTCTCTGGTTTTTTCTTTCACTGGGTTAATCAAGCAGTGCCCATACTACACATACTCTTTCAAACATATTTACATATAAAATATAACCCTCTCCAATTATAATGGAAAGTTTCACTTTATAGCATGTACTACATCCTTTAAAAAGTGTGATTATTGCACATAACTATTATAAACTGAGGCACACTAAGTGATTTTAAAGTTCTCATCTGGTAAAATGGTTGTTTATAGACAACTGTCTGAAATAGAAACAACCTAATTTTAATGTATGTCTTTTACCGTTATAGATCTTAAGAACAACACAGCTCCTAAGCATAACTATTCACCTAAAAATAACTTTTCTATGCCCTCTATCAGTAATGGTGAACCTTTCAGAGTTTCCAATGACAACAAGCAGCCTTTTGTGGCACAACATGTTTGCCACCACCGCCCGATGTCTTTCAACATAAGCCAATGCAGACACAAAATATGTGATTTGAATGTTCACTGAGTCATTAAGTCAGGCCAAAATTTATAACCACCACCAAAAATAATGCTCTAGAATAACTGTGGATACTCATTACATTTCCATTCTTTGTGTTTACTTGTTACTAAATCAATGATTGGATTTTTGAGTGAACATAAATTGCACAAGATCCTAGAAAACTATCAAAATTCAGCGTAATTACTGGTCCACTTTTTCACAGAAACACAATGTTCGTGCTGCAGGAGGCTGTGGAGCCACCCGGGGAGCAGATGCAGTAGGCAGAGCCAGGAGCACACGCTGTGCCTCCAGAGGAAAAGGGGGAAGGCAAAGGAGAAAGCAGAGCCATTAGGGAACAGCTAGACAGTGTACTGCGGGGACAGGAGAGACACTAAATGGTGAAAAAGGACCAGCCGCCATCAAGAAATCAAGCAAGAACGGATGCCGGCAGGCGTTGGGGAAAGGCACGGCCTGCAGTACTGCCACAGTGTAAACCAGTAAGATCACTCTGGAGGGGCTGGCGAGATGGCTCAGTGATCTAAAGCACCTACTTAGAACAAGCTTAGCAAAGCACAGGGACCGCGGTTCAATCCCCCAGCACCACATGCCAGCCAGCCCCACCCCCTGGTGGGCTGAGCTGGCCACACACACACACACACACACACACACACTAAATAAATAAATGAAAAAAAAAAAAGATCACTCTGGAAATTGGTGGGGCCACCTGTCAACAACTCAAACTAGAAATTCCACGTGACCCAGCTACTGTCCTCCTGGGGATCATCCGGCATCACACCACAGAGACACATGCACACCACGTTTGCAGCAACACCACTCTCACTGAACTTCAGTGATGTTTGTTGTAGCACCCCCTTTTCAATCTCTTGGGTCTTTTCTCCTCTTCTGATTAGTTTGGCTTTATCAATCTGTTTATCTTTTCAAAGAGCAAATCCTTTGTTTTACTGCTCCTGTGTATTATTCTTTTAGTCTACCTCATTAATAGACATTATCTATTAATATTATCTATTATCTGTTCTTATTTCTTTTCATTCTGTTGGGTTTGGGTTTTCTTGTTTTTCTATAACCAAGAGGTGCAGCATGATTTGTTTTTTTTTTTTTAATCTCAGATTGATTGATTGCTTGCCTGATTGATTTCTTTCCTTTCTTTCTTTCTTTGGTAGAGGGTCTTGCTACACAGCTCAGACTCAGTGATCCTCCTATCCCTGGCCTTATATTTTTTTTCTTTGTATTTAGTACCGGGTCTATAGGGTCTCACTACACAGATCAGACTCCTAGTGATCCTCCTGTTTTCAGCCTCCCAAGTGCAGAGATTACAGGCGTGCGCCACCACACCAGGACTTATTTGCTGTCTCAGCACACCCCAGGTACAGAGCTGGTACAGCATGTGGGACAGGGATCAAACTCTGGTCCCTGCACTTGCCGAAGCAGGTATTTACTTCATTGAGCTATCTCGCTGCCCCCCCTTTTTTTAAGGTAGACAGAACCATAAACTCCCCACTTACAACTGCCTTTGCTGTATCACAGAGTTTCTGCTATGTTATATTTCCATTTGATTATAGGAATTTTTCAATTTTAACCTTTCTCATTCTTAAGGGATGCTTATTCAAAATAATAACATAACATTAAGTGATTATATTTTAAAGATAAGTGAGATAAAAGTCAGCAACTTACTAAGGGTCTTCTACTATCCAAGTAGTAGTACTGTATTATGTGAAAGTATACTCAGAGACCCAGGTACAGTCCTTTATGCCTGGCTGGTCAAAGGCAGAACAGCCCTGCAGTCTGGTCTATTACGCTCAAAGTTTACATCTCTAACGAGATGTGGTGCTGCAGAAGTAACAGGTCACGGCCTCACACGCCTTGGGAGCCCTGGATGCTGTGACTATGGCCAACTGGACAGACCCAGGATGTAGCCGCTCCTCCTGCCTCACTGGGCACAGCAAACTCTGCTGAGAAGAGGCAGCTCCAACATCTTGGTCCCAACCTCATTTCTGTAGATACTCCATATTAAGAACCTTTCCCCTACCATAGAAATCCAAACCATGGGAAAGCACAGCAGACAGCACATCATCTGTTTCAGAAAACAAAGCAAAGCAAACGAACAACATGCCAATGTATTTTAAGGATTTAATTACAATGCCACCCCTGACATCATCACAGCCAACTCTAGTCTCCACCTCCATGGGGCCCTGTTACTCCGGTTGATCTCAAAAATTCCTGGACTCAAGTGATCCTCCAGCCTCAGCCCCACCCCAACCCCAACAGTCCCCACGCCCCCCACCCCCAATGGCTAGGAATAAAGGCATGGGCTATTATGGGCTCTTCCAAAGTTTTCTAAGAGAATTTTATTATTTTTTGCAAAGAATTCCACTGATTTGGTTCCACAAATAAGGAATTTTGACTTTTGGAAGAAAACTATTATTTACTACAGTTACAGAATGTATCACTGTTCTAGTTAAAAATATGCTACATGTAAATTTAGAAATTTCTAATTTTCAAAACACAAAAAAATATTATAATCAATATAGAGCTGATGACAATAGTGCATTACAGCTAGTTAGGAGAGTTCAAAAAGAAATTACTTAACTTAAAAAAATTTAAAACACAGAAAATCCAACGTAACCAGCATAGTAAAATGCTACTAAAATGATCAGATCACTTTTATTACGCAAAACAGAAATGAAGTTTGGAGCTAGAGCTCAGTAATTTTCCCTAGCACCAAAAAACAAAAGCAAACAACAGAATTTAGCAATACATCAAAATTCTCACTAGGAACATTAATTATGATTGGAGTACAAAAATATCAATGAAGAAATTCTTCAACTGAAGAATTCTTCATTTAGATTCTAAGCAATAACGTATGCTTCTCTGAAGCACACTTTTTTTTTTTTTTTTTTTTTATTTTAAGGAAGGGTCTACAGGGTGTTCACGGTCTCACTACCAGATTAGACTGATAGTAATCTGCCTGTTTACAGCCTCCCAAGAGCTGGGATGACAAGAGGCGCCACCTCGCCCAGTCTCAATTGCCATGTCAGCGTACCCCAGGGGTGGGGCCAGCACCGCAGGCTGGGGGATACGAACCCCTGACCCCTGCACCTGCTTGCAGGTGCTTTAATCCACTGAGTTATTTGGCCAGCCCTCTGAAGCACACTCTAAACCAGACTTACATTTCAATCTCAATGCACAGGAATTAAATAAAGAACTTGGACATTACTTCCAGAAACCTTGGCCCTGAACTCTGTGAAAACACAGAACACAACTGAGAGCAGTCGGTGGGTCCCACGTGAAGTTGCACGTAACCACAGCCTGGGCCTCACCCTCTTGGCTAAGTGATCAGGGGCGAGACAACACCACAGCAACAGGCCCACCAGAGGCGGCGAGCGGGCCAGGGGAAACCGCCCTCTTGGAAAGAACATAGCACACAGCGATACGGTCCGAGAAATGATCTTTAACTTCATCAAAAGTAAAAGAAACCAAATGTTTGTGGCATCAGGAAGGGCTGAGTATGATTACAATGCTATCGCTGAATGAGATCTTGAACTGTTTTGTCAGAATGCCAGATGGTGAAACACTACTTTGGCCAGTTAAATAAAGGTAAAGAAGCAGTGAAAGATACTGGAATGTGTTGGCTCTTCAGTAATTACACAGTACTAAAAATGAGAAGACACATCCCTCCTCCACACCATAAAGAATTCCCCGTGGCTCATGTAGTTGTACCAGGACTTCTACAGCTAGCAGCAAGAACACTGCTCTAGCCAAACGTCCTTATGAGCAGAAGTGATTTTCCTTAATGGTGAACTGGCTGCAGAGGTCAGTGGAAATTATGATTAACAGAAATCAAGACTAGACAAAGTGCAATTCTATCACCATCCTGGACAAGCAGGAAAGTGAGGCCGCAGCAGGCTTGAACGCAGAGAACAGACAATAAAAAGAAGTGGTACCAGGTAACGAAGCCTGACCAGAGAGGCTGAAGCCAACTCTTCTTCGAAACCA